TCGTGGATATCGTTCGCGACCTTCCTCTCCCGGTGGCGGAGTCCGGGCTCGGCTCCGGTTAACGGTGCACCGTGTCGGCGCTGGTCTCTCGCGATTCACGAGGTAGGGACGCGGGGGGTTTTTTACGGCGCGCACGCTAAATCGTCGGAATATATACCAATAGGAGGGCGACGGTCGGGTGCAATAACGGCGAAAATGCCACCGTGAACGCGCCTGCGAAAGAAGCCGTTTATTATGCACCGCTGCGGGACGACGGCGGTGCGACGATTGCATCTCTGCGCGAATATGTGTATCGGCGCGCGGAGATATGCGTAACGCAACGACGCAACGCCGGCGGGAGGGCGAGTGAGTGAGAATTGCACACGCGGCGGCGACTTATCATCGAGGGCGCACTTTCGCGCTCGCCGCGATAACCCGTTCGTATTGCACTTCCAATTTTCCTCGTAAGTGTAATATGCGCAGAATGTAATATGAAATGGACATGATAAATAGAACAAAGTTCCCTATTATGAGATAAGATCCTAATATGGGATAGCGGAGTTGTTGTTAAATTAGTAGGCATCATCGGTTGATTCTACCATGCATTTATTTGCCCTTGGAACGAAATCTGTTCAGTGGAAAATTTATTGTTAGATTGTGTAATCGTTGCGGAAAAAGATTTGTGATTGAATTTGGGTGTTGAAAACCTGCTATCTCATAATAAAGAACTTTCGTCTATACACCGTATTATACTGTTAAAATACGCGTGAGCTTTTTGCATCGAAGTTTATTTTACTGTATACCGCGGTATTTCGAAATTGTCTAAGTGTCTAATATGTGACTTCATCTATTGCGTTCGATCAATCGAAATTATTAATATATAAACGACGGAGATTTAAAGCAAGGCATTTTACAGAAAATATTTGTGTTACCGATTGCGATTTAGTAATATGAGAACTTGGAGAAGAATATTCGTGTATATTCTTAAATTACGAATATACCAAATAAATACATTATGATATATTAAACGTTTATTGAACGCAGTTAACATAAGAGTTAGTATAAAGGTGGTATCCCTTTTACACTACTTTGCGTTTAATATAACATCATATATTTGTTGGGTATGTCAAATATGTTTTATCTTATACATATAGTAACAAATAGAGTAAACTTTTCTAGCCGAATATAATTTTTCAATTATACAGACATCTATTACCTAATATTATGTTCATATAAACGCAATAAAGTTTTTATTTGCGATCAATTTGTTGCCCGTTTTAAAATTCATTCTGTTGCAGCAGTGTTATATGTATATACACAGATAATAAAACTTGTGCATACATGTACATATAAATCATTTTTCGTAACAATACCCATCTCGATCTCCCCGGTCGGAATTTTCGATTTGCGACAACCTGACGACGAGCTCACCATAATTTTCGATATTATTCCAGAGAAAGAGAGGGAGTCGCGCCGCGTAATCTCCATAGCGAAAAGAAACTCGCGCGCGATGGGAGCGCGCGGTGTTCCCTGAATGGTGCAATAAAATTAGGCTACCATACATAATGCGTCCCGAGGCGCGCCACCGACAGACGGGACTCCCATACCTTCGCATTATCCCCGCGGTAATTCTCGGGTACGCGAAACGCATTAGTCATTTTCGCGTAGGGTGGAGAACGCGCGCGGGGCGCAGGAGAATGAGGAGGAGCAGGAGGAGAAAGAGGCGAAAGAAGAGGAGGAAGAGGAGGAAGAGGAGGAGGAGGAGGAGAAGAAGGAGAAGGAGGAGGAGGAGGAGGAGGAGGAGGAGGAGGAGTAGAGAACTGACTTATATTCATCCACCTAATCCCCCTCTGATGATCAAAGATCCCCGACTGTTGGCGGCACCGTGGATGCGGGGCAACAACGACCGCCACCACTGTGCACCGCCGCCGCCGCGTGCAGTTTCTTCTACGTTGCGCCGCGCCGCATCGCGCCGTGGGGTAATACAGAAACGATCCGTGCACTTCCGACGAGCGATTCACGTTTTCCGCGCGGCGCGGCTACTTGGGAGGCGAAGCCGGTTGAATTAACTTAGCCTAACGCCTCGTTTGCCGTGCGCAGGCACCGCGTGCGCGCACCCGCGGTTGCGTGCGCGCGTATGTATGTACGCGGCCTCGCAATCCTCGCATGCGTCTCCCTGATGCGTTCCGCATACGTGCATACGCGTCGCGCCGCGTCGCACGCACACGCATACGCGCGTTGCTCGTCCCTCGCGGTGGCAGTGCGGCCGCGCGCGCGAGGGCCCACTGGACAGGGAGGGGGGGGGGGGGGGTAATAAAGCAACAAGACAATGACGGTGATTTACGCGGTCCTACGGCAAATGGGCTTACCCGTAAATTTTTACGCGGGCAGCACGCGCGTCGGCGCGAGAGAAAGGTGGAGAGACCCCGCGCGCGATTTATTAATCTCGTCCGTGCGACACGCACGCAAATGCGACTCGGCTCGGCTCGGCTCGGCCCGACTGGACGTGAGACCGCGGCGAGACCAGGTGCCCTGGTACTAGGGGGATTATTTATTTAATGTAAAATACGCGGCGATATATCTATCGAGCACTACGAACGGAAATGGAAAATGCGATTAGAATATTTTTCACGTATAATGATACAACACATTTTTTAAAACGATTTCTTCCCTATGTTTCGCGCAACGCAAATAATTACGATAGAAGTTGAAACATGTAGATAATTTTCTTTACTTTTGACAAAGAAATTGTTTTTAACAGAGCCATTTTTTTGAGATTTCGTTTAATACTATTTTTATAAACAATTAAAGAGCCAAATTTGTCATGAAAAGAAAATTGTTTCACACGGCATAAATAGTTGATTTTTTAATTAAAAAATCCCGACAGATATAACTACAATATTACAAGAAAATTCTTGCATTTTCCATCAACATGGCAACTAGATATATCGTGCCGATACTGAGGAGACGCAGTGGTCCGACCAATGCCATAAAACTTAATTTATTTAACATTAAAAATGTACTACTACTCGTTTTATTATATTTCAAGGATCAATAAATTCTACTTTATTATTTAAGATATACCTCCTACAAAAACCCCCCCAAAAGATCCATTTTTGCTAGTACTGGTGGTATAACCCCTTAATATATTAATAAAATCTCATACACACGCAATATATATAAGATATCTATCATTTAAATAGATAAAGGTGAATACACGTTCTATAATTCTCTGAAAATATAGAAGTGAGCACGTCAGTACTCTATATACTTAAAATATACTCGTTACATATTATTATTAATATACTCGATAAAACATATAGGTAGGTAATATTCATTAAACCTGTCAACGCCTACAGGAAGGCCGATATACTCATAAAGCAGATCAGATACGACAGAGTTAATTATCGTAATTGTTAGTACCAACGCGGAAGTGCAACGAGTAATTTTTACGTCCGCGTAAGCGGAAGATTTGTTTCTAAATTATTGTGTTGTAAAGTTGCAAAGTTTTGCATCAGAGAGCGGATATGATATAATTTTTTCCCTTCCCTGGCAACGTGAATAAACACAACGATTACATGGCGTATCTTATCTTTACCATAGATTAGAAACTAAACTCTCATCAACAGAGTTAAATATAATTTATTTTCACGTAATAAATTTTGATTCTAATTATCTTTATTATTAAACAAGCGTTTGAAGAACTAATATAAAAATATTTAAATAAACGGTTGTCTGTAAAGCTTATATGTACAGGGTGGGCCATTTTAATTTATACAGTCGATTTTTTAAAAAACTAAAAGAGATATGAAAAAATGTTTCAGACAAAATTATTACAATTACAAAATTATTACAATGAATACAATGTATGACGTATAACACGTCACTGTTCCTGTATATCGCTAAAAGTAGAATGATCCGAATTTTTTTTAAACATGCATAACTACAAAGATTTGGGTGAAAAGTTGATTTGACCTTGGAATGATACCGAAGGATCAACTTGACTCATAACATGACAACAT